AAGACAGTAAATACCTGAGGTTTTGTGGGCCATGTGGTGTGTTAGAATATTCGACTCTGGGATTGTAGTGTGGAAGCCACCACAGGCAGTACATAAGTGGGCATGGAATCCAATAACCTCGTACTTATTAAACCAGGTGGTGAGGCCCAGAGACCACAGTTAGCCAATCCCCACTCTAAACCCTTATGTTCAAACTACTTCAAGGACGAGCAGCACCAACATCACCTGGAAGTGTGTTAGAAATGGAAAATCTCAGGTTTCACCTCAGAACGACTGATACAGAACCTGTTTTTTAACAACATAACTGAGGTAATTCATAAGTACATTAAACCATAAGAAGCACTGTCCTAGAATTCAACCTTAAATCTTGGATTAATTTACTACTTAAATAATTTAAGATAAAATTTTTTTTTCCTCCAAAAGATCCCTAAGAGTAAAGTACAAATAAACTTTGGTGTAAGGGCATACTTACTTCAGACTTCACAGAGTAGGTTTCATTATCTGAATCCTTTTGCGCCTTCTGTAGCTTTTCCTCTTGTTGAGTTAACCAGAGTAAGGCTTCTTTTGTCTTTTCCTGTAACTGACACAGACAGACAGACAGACAGATACACACACACACCCCTTAAATCTCTATCGTAAATAGACTTGGTAATTTTTCTTTAGCAATAAAATTAACAACTTCAAACATCAGTGACATTATATAATGCAGTCCTTACACACCAATGACTCAATGTGCTAAAGAGAAATTTTGCTTGTTCACACAACACCTTAAGACTTAAAATGGATTGAAACTAGCATTTGAACATGATAATGTGCTAAAGAAACAGGCTGAGCAAGGCCTAATTTTCTGGCTTATGCATTTCCATTATTCTTCCATTTTAGAGAACTGAGTTCTAAATTACTTCTTAGTCGGCATTTCCAAATATTGCTTTCCAATAAATCCGTGTGGGTTGATTCAAGAGATGTTCACACCCACCAAATAAACTGTCATCAAAAATATATTGAACACTTTAAAGACCCTAAAAATAACATTACCAAAGGATTTGTTTGTGTTATCATATGAAACTGAAAAAGAATTATTTTTCTCTTAGCTTCTTGCATAAGTGGTAAGCTTGATTACATTTGGAAGCAAATTTCATTGCTGGGGAAATGAAGTAAAAGAAGCTACATCTTATGTCCATCCTTCAACCTTCAACCTTCATGTTTTCTTCTATTAAGCAAGAGTATTTTTTATATATTTTTACATCCAATTTCATAGACAGGTGATTTTTCAATTGTGCTTTTTACTATGAAAATTAATTAGAAAAGAGTAATTCCTTAGCAGGTCAGAAATAATTGAACTGACTCAGCTTGAGTGTCTCTTCTAGAGCCAGCAACAATCTGGCTTACTGCCTCAAACATAACAGTTGGAAAAACATGGGCCTTAATTTGTCAAATAAAATATGAAAATGTGATTGCATGCAAATATGTCTGAGAAAGTAGCTTAAATACATTTTAGAATACTATTAAAAGCCATTTTATTAGCATTCACTTATCTTCCTAGAAGCAGAATAAATGATTCTTTTCAGTTCAGTGATATATTTGAAAGTTCCACTAATAATACTTTGTGTAACTGATTCAAAGTCAAAGGAAAAAAATGAATAATCAAATGGTAATCTGATGGTCTTTCAAGAGTATCTCAACAAACAAGGATTAAGACTAGAGCACAAGGGACTATGGTGAAGGTTCACGGGTGAATTGGTGGCGGGAATTTTACGGGGACTACAACTGAAAGGAGAAAGCATACATTGTATAAAAATGAACAATGATGCAATACATACATACATTTATATATAAATCATTGAATAAAATTTACATGGTTGAATATTATGGTAGATGAATCATATCTCAATAAAGTTCCTAAAAAATAAAACAGACAAAAATTTGATGTCTCTAGAATTTTGTAAAAGCCTGCTAAATTTAATTTGTCCCATACAGTACCTATCTAAAAGTTGTAGATTATTCTTCTAAGTTTAATAAATTACCACTTTTAACTTTTTAAAAAAAAAAGAACAAGTACAGGGCCTCGCTGGTGGTGCAAGGAGTTGAGTGCAGTGCTGTGAAGCTGTTTGCAGCCTCTGCAGCGCAAGTTCCATCCCTGGCCAGAGAGCTACCCACATGGTGCTGCAGATCTCTCCTGACTCGCCCGCTGCTCCCTTCAATAGTGTACTTCGGTCTATTTGTCTGTTCTATTCCCTGCTCCATCTCTGGTGAATCCTCTCACCTCCCATAAATCTGGCCTGTACCCCAGTTCTTGTAATCATAAACAAATAAATCTTTAAAAAAAAACAAAGAACAAGTATAACTAAACCATAGTGAAAGAAACATTTTGCTTAAAGTGGAGAGTACAGAAAGGACAGAAATACAGTAAAATATTACAAGTAATGGAAATGTTTCAAATCATGATTGAGTATGATTTACATGATGTGTACATTTACCCAAACTCATAATACTGTTTATGTAAGTGCTGTATTCAAATTATTTATTTTAATTCAAATTATTTTTAATTAAGATTTCATTTAAAAAATTAACCATTAGTAGAACACAACAAAAAATGAACTGATTTGTAGTCATGAAGACATACCTGAGTGTTACCTCCAGTCTCAACTGCATCCTTTGAATACTGCAGAAACTGTGCCACATAGGTCATGATCGACTTTTCATCAGGATTAACAACGTCCACATCTGCAAGATATGCCACACTCTCAATCAGCTATAGACATGATTTACTGTAATTAATACTCAAAAACAGGCTATGCCATAGGACAGCCTTAAAAATGAACCAAAGTAGTTGACCAGCCATGCAATCCCTGATAACTTGCTCCAAGGCTAGAGAGTTCTTAAGAGCTTAAATCTAGAATCAGACAAAGCTGGTTGAATCCTGGCAATTACGCATGTACACCCTCAGTTTTCAAATAATAAAATGTCACTATGCATGCTGAATGTAGAAAGAAGAAAACAAAGTACTTCTTTCTAAAGACATGGTGCAGAAACTCCTCCAAGAGTATAGGAACATACAGCAATTGGAGTTCATTCCTGGAGCACTGGTCTCATCTCTGTGTAGCAAACATTTTCAAAAGTATATATTGCAATGAAAAATTGTCCAAGACAGCCAAAAGATTTTTTTTTCTTCATTCATGGAACAAAAAGATACAAAGATATATAAAGATATAGATTCTATGGACCAAGATTTATGTTGCATTAAAAGAGTTCGAAGTGAAATAAATTTGAAAAACGCTAAATTAAAAAAAGTGAAAATATTATAAGGTTTTTGAAGGGCAGAACTTCTCCAGGCAGATAATAAATTAAATAGAGCACAAAAATCACAAACCAGAGCTTGCAAGATACATACAAATGATCACATAATTTAGGAATCTCTCTTGGTATGCTGTTAAAACAACTAATGAAGATTACTGAAAAGAAAATCTTCTCTGTTAATTAAGATTCACTCAATACAACAAGCATTAATAGAGTGTCAACAAATGAGGGCTCAAGCAGGGGATACAAGGACATGTAAGGTCTCATACTTGCCCTTATGTTTCATTCCTTTTATCCATTCAACAATAGATTCTGGATACTTGACCAGATGCTAGCTGCCTTAAGACATTATCTGCCCCTCAATGAGCTTATAATTAGGAGAAAAACAAGCAACAAACAAATACAACATACAATGCATGCTTTAGTGAACATGTTAACTGGGCCAAATGAATGCCCTGTGTCAGCTCAGGAGCTAAATTTAAGCTATTTAAAACAAATTATGAAAAATAATTAAAAAGAATTATGGACAGTAATTATGGACAGTAAACACAGGAAGAAAGTGACTCTAATCTATATCTAAATAATAAATTTAGGTAGTAAGTCCGGAAAATACATCAATGAAAATCTGGGTGTGGAGTTTCAATAAAGGAAGAATCTTTAAGAAATATTCTGTTTTACTGAAAAAAGATAAACATTATGAGATACACAAATAAGATTGACAACTCCTTATTTCTTTTTAAAAACTTCTCATTGAGGGCCCCCTCGTGGCTCATCGTTTGAGCGCTGGGCTGCAAAGCTGCCCACAGCCTCTGCAGTGCCAGTTCCATCCCCGGCCACCTGTGAGGGTCCCACATGGTGAGCAGACCTCTTCTGCCGTGCCCGCTGCTCCCCTCAGCAGTGTATTTCATTGGTCTGCCTGTTCTGTTCCCCGCTCTGGCTCTGGTGAATTCTCTCACCCTCCCACGCTTCTGCCTGTACCCAATGCTTGTATAAATTAATTAATTAAAAAAAATTTCTCATTGAATGTAAAGCTATATATAATGACGAAATGTTTTAACAAAATTGTGTCAAAGATAATTCCCTTACTCAAATACGACCAAGGTGTTTGGTTTACATAAATAGCCACTATGCACTTTGAGCTAAATTTAAGCTATTTAAAACAAATTATGAAAAATAAATAAAAAGAATTATGGACAGTAATTTATACGGTAGAAATTTTATTTCATTATATTATCTATACCATTAGTTGCCTAGTTAGATTCATGCACTAAAATAGAGAAAATTTTTACAGTAATAATAAAGACCTGGAGAACCACAAAATGATAGAAATATTAAGAAAAAAAGATTAAACAGAAATAGAAAATAGAGCAGAGCATGGAGGGAAATAAAAACAAAAAGATAATAAAGCGATAAAAAGAAAAGACAAAGAAAGAAAAAAGGGGAGGGCAGGTAAAACAAGAAGATGGAGGGAGAGTTAACAAGAAGAATTAGTAACAAGCAACATGAAGCCAAACTAATGAAAATCCTGGTATCTAGAGCTATGGACTCTTAGGCTAAATGTGAACTGGGAAATATTCTCTAATTCATCTGTGATACCAGGAGCAATGAATAAACCTAACACTCAGGTCCTGGTTTCTCAATAAAAGAAATCAGGGCTTCTTGGAAAACTAAGATAGGAAAGAGACAAGATGAGCCTGGAGCACCTTGAAGAGCCCAAAAGCAGAGATGTGCTCAAAACACACGCGGAAACCCCAGAGTGAGGGGCTATGTCAAAGGAGCACAGAGGCCACGCAAAGAGCTCCCAGGGGCTGAAACTTTGTCAAAAAAATTTTTTTTGAGAAAACAAAGTGGGGAGGGAGCATAAAGGATTTGTGGGAGGGTGTGGTGTGGTAACAACACCTGAAGGGGGAGATCCTATACCTCTAAATCACAAACAATGTTGTAAACAACGCTACCTTGATAAAACAAGGTAAAAATAAAGTACTGAAAGTAAAAAATATATATTTAATTTGATCAATAAAATAAACTATGCAGCATTGGATTGCAAACCAAAATATAAGAAAAATGTTCATGAGCCCATACTATTATTAAGAAAATGGTTGGGTATATGAATGAAAGGGAGAAACAGACAAATCTGTTAAGAATTCCAAATATTTCTGTAAATGACTTGCCTTCAAGGAGGGTGACCAGAACTTGCCCAAGGGTGGCCTCTGGATAATGACTTTCCTCCAGAGAGTATAGTACAGAAAGAGAGGAATTAAAGAGTAACTTTACAGGGGAGAAACCTGACAAACACAACCTTAGCTGGATGATCAAGGTCAACATCAACAGCGATGTCATATTGACAATGTGTTCCCTTGATGTGATGTCATGAGAACGGCACTTCACCTCAGACTAACAGGAAAACAAACATTACCCCAATTCCAGTAAAGGAGCATCCTACAAAATACGTGACCAGTAATCCTCAAAATTGTCACAGTCATTCAAAACAAAATATCTGAGAAACTGTCATGAAGAGGAACCCAAGGAAACATGACAATAGCATGTAGTATTCTGAGTGGGCTCTGAAGGGAGGAGGGCATGGGGAAAAATGAAGGCACCATGACCAGAGTGTGACCTTCCAGAACAATATCAATATTGGTTCATTAATGGTAGCCAGTGTATGGGGAAACTGGTATGAAGTATATAAAAACTTATTGGACCACCCCATTTTTCCATAAGTCTAAAGCTAGTCTTATGCTAAAATGAAGAAGCCACTGGTAAAAGACCACAGTTATCATGTAGTATGATTCCATTTATACGAAATGCCCAGAATTGGCAAATACATAGCGACAGAAAGAGTGGTGGTTGCTGAGGGCTGGGTTGAGGGGGACAGAGGCACAGGAGCTTGTGAGAAACAGGGGAGGGACTGCTAATAGGATGATGGGTTTTTCTTGGAGTGATGAAAAAATTTTAAAATTGACTGTGATGACTGATGACGGTTACCAGAATTTGTGAATATACTAAGAAACATTGGGTAGTACACTTAAATGGAGTAAATTGTATGGTATGTGAACTACATGAAAACAAAATGCTTTAAAACCAAAAAGATTAGGGCCTCCCTGGTGGCTCAAGGGGTTAAGACGCAACCTATGAAGCTATCCGCAGCCACTGCAGCATGAGTTCGAACCCTGGCCAGGGAGCGGCCCACATGGTGCAGCAGACCTCTTCTGACTCGCGCTGCTCCCCTCAGCAGTCTATTTCAGTCAATCTGCCTATTCTGTTCCCCATTCTGTCTGTGGTGAATCCTCTCACCACCACCCCCACACCTCTGGCCTGTACCCCAGTTCTTGTATGTATAAATAAATAAATCCTTAGAAAATAAATAATAAAACCAAAAAGGTTAAATGTCAAAACCAGTCACTGGGCGGTATTCTGGAGCTGGCTGGTTTATACCAGCTTGAGAACTGATGGTTACATCTTCATCAATTTTGTAAGCCAGTTGATAAACACAGCCAGCATCAAAATCATATAAAAATACAATTAAATAAATTATATCAAAACTACACATAAATCGGGCCTCCCGGTGGTGCAGTGGTTGAGCGCTGGGTTGTGAAGCTGCCCGCAGCCTCTACAGCACCGGTTCGATCCCCGGCTGCTCCCCGGCCACCAGAGGAGGGTCCCATATGGCGTGCAGACCTCTCCTGCCGCCCACTGCTCCCCTCAGCAGTGTGCTTCGGTCCTTCTGCCTGCTCTGCTCCCCACTCTGGCTCTGGTGAATTCTCTCACCCTCCCGCGCTTCTGACTGTACCCAGTGCTTGTATAAATAAATAAATCTTTTAAAAAAAAAAAACTACACATAAATCAAAACTAAGGTAACAAATATTCAAAACTCATCACTTCCCAAGTCTTTTACTACAATGTATTATTACCTATGTTTTTCAGGTTATTTATGTCTATTACAGCTGTCTCAGAGAAATAATATATAAAGTGTGGTCACTGTACACCTTTCCCAGCTCTGTGCTCAGGGACTGCACTCTGGTAGCTTCACATCCATCATGAGGGTAGTACTGACACCACAAAAACATTAGCAAATGAGGATCTGAGTTGTTATTTTGTTGACTGCTAAGAAAGGGATGGAGAAATTATTAATAATGCAGGGTTAATCTTTTAAATGATATCCTGTCTATAGCTGTTAAACTGTGAATAGCACAAAAAATTAACAAAATATTCTTTCCATATTATTTAGCAAAAAAGTTATTCGTGTCATTGGAGAACAATAAAGTTCTGACATACCTCTTTGCTGTTCCATTTACTCATTAACCTAAAGGAAATTATTCACCAACATTCATGTCAGAACTTGTTCAGCAATTGTAATCATCAACTGGCTACAGATGGATATAAGTGTTTGGCAAAAATCAACAAAAGCATTTCTGGGCTTTATGGAATTTATAATAAATATATCATATTTATGATTTGTAAATCATCTGCTGCACATCCTCTATACTAGCAAATTTATAAGGAATAGTGCGTGTGCACACACATACACATACATTGTTTTGGAAACCCAGTCATTAAACATATACCTACACAACCTGGTTATAGAGCTGAGATTGGAATTTGTGTCTTTTGACTGGTTAGTGCACTATGACTCTCTCTAACCCCTTATGCCTCTTTTATCACCTTATTGGGCTCTTTTTAATATAAGCTTTGTTACATCATGAAACAATGCAATCAAAAATAAAGTGCTTTTGCAAAAGAACTCAATTGCTTTCACTTTAATTTTATGAAACTAAAATGATAACCTGATAATTACCTCTTTGAATATAACCAGTATTTGGGTGTTTGCTGTTGTTTTTAATCAAGGGAAAGCAGACCCAAATGTATAGGGAAAAAAAGAAAAATCTGTCTTAGTTCTCACAGAGGTTCAGCTTTAACTAGAGGGGGGTGGGAAAAGGGAGAGAGATAAACAGCTAAAATCTAGATTTTAGAGCAGAATTAAGGAGAACACAATAGAAGAAAATTAAGACAAAGGCTCAAATTATTCTCTACAACAGCATTGTTTGTTTTCAGCTGTGGCTGCATCCCTGAAATTTCTGAGGTTAACTAATTGGTAAGGATTGTTAATTTCATAAAATTTAATCAAGCGTTTAAGTTGAGCCCTCCAGAATGAAAAAATAATCCTGTTTGCTTATATATGGATACTATTTTGGAATCAACTTCACACTGGACAACATCGTTTTCTTGAAGAAAGAAAAAAAATGATGCTTGTTTACCTTCTGGTTCCAGCAATTTGGGGATTTTTAATTCTCGTTCTGCAATTCCGAAGGCCTCTTTCAGATTGTCTTTGTTGGATCGATGCTTTACACTTTTCATGTCAATTAGGTCTGGCCGCAAGGCATGAATGACAGCCAAAAAAGCCATCCCGTTTCTCCAGCTTGACTTAAAATCTGTCACATTGACAGACTCATCACTATCACAAAAGGACAAAAACATGATAAATATTATTACAAACAATATATTAGAGCACTTCCATCCACTACAGTCAATAGTAAAACAAGTTTCAACGAATAATGTAATATCATTATAGAAAGATGTTTTATCTTAATCTTAGGATCAAGTAAATTAAAATGCTAAGTGTATGAAGCTTAGGATCTCACAGAATATTGGCGCTCAAAGTGTGGCCACCCCACATCAGCAGATCAGTATCACCTGGACTACAGGTGCTAGAAATGCAAATTGTCAGGAACCCCGGAACCTATTAATCAATCTCTGGAGATGGAGCTGAAAAACAAAGCTCCAGATAATGATACTCAGGTTTAATGCTCATCAGTCCGTAATCTGTTGGTTCAAGATTAACTTTAGACCTCTACATAGAGTTATTCTCCTCTCTTATGGGAAACAATTTTATCATTAGAACAAATTAAATGATAACTATGCCAAATAAATGGCCAGTTGCTTACTGGACAGATAAATATTGTAACTCCTCTGCTTAAAACTGGTCATCACAAGTGAACAGAGGAACAAAATGTGGTGTTTTCATACAATGGAGTATTATTCTGTCCTAAAAAGGAAGGACATTTTGATATGTGCTACAACATGGATGAACTGAAGATATTGTGCTAAGTGAAATAAGCCATCCAAAAAATGACAAATATTGTATGATTCCACTCATTTGAGGTACCTAGTGTAGTCCAATTCATATACAAAGAAAGCAAACTGGTGGTTGCCAGGGGTTTGGGGAGCAATTAATGGGGTAGTTGCTTAACACAGATCCATACAGATCTGGATGTATATAGAGTTTCAGTTTTGCAAGATGAAATAAGTTCTGAAGATGAAAAATAGTGGTGGTTGCCCAGCAATGTGAATGTATTTAAACCACTGAACCACACATTTTAAATGATTAAATGGTAAATTTTATGTTATTATCTCTTAATCAGGAAAAAAAACTTTTTAAAAATCCACATCATGGATTGCCACTGTATTTAGAATAACTTTTGTCCCTGGCCCATAAGGACTTACACTCTTTGGCCCCTTTCGACCTGTTCCACCTGTCCCACCACACTGGTCTGGTTTCTGCTTCTCAACAGTCATACTCTTTTCAATGCCCTTTCTCACAAGCCCTTCATACACCTGAAGCCTTCTCCTCAGCCCTCGTCTCCTCCTCAGAAAGGCTCCAGTGCCCACCTACACAAGGGTGACACGCTCCCTCCCTCCCCTTGACACTATTGATCAAAAGTCCTTCCTAACTTTACTGCCAACTGTAATTATCATATTTATTTATCTGCTTCCTCTACTAGGGTATGAGCCCCATGAGAGCAAGGGCCTTGTTTTTTTTGTTCATTATAGTAGACTTTCCCACCCCACTACCCCAAAAGTGTCTGGCATATAAAGGTGCTTCATATATATAAATCTCAAATCACTCCATCAGTCACCATTCTGAATTTGACTAGGGATCAGTGAATATGCTGCAAAAGAATAGAAGTTTCTCATAACATGTAGGAAATATTCCAGAACAACTATAAATATCCCATAAAAATATCCCATAAACAAATCCCATTAAAAATACATGGAAATTTACTAAACTAATTTACCATAGATATCAAATGATAAACGCTACTCAGGAAATAGTCTGCTCCAGATAACCTCTGGGTGTTTTCCTGGATCCCTTAGGGGAAAAAGTCTAGCCTATAACTATAACTAAACTGCAGAGTAGTCAGTGATTTTGTTTTGTTAAACAAATACTTATGCGTTCCTACTTTGTCCAGAAACTATTTGAAATGCTTTTTTAAAGACTATGCTTATAATACACACATAACCTCATGAAGTGTTAGTACTGTTTACATTTTATGATGGAACACACAGAGATTAAGTGTCTAAGGTCACCGGTTAGGAAGTGCAGAGACCCAGGACTTGAATAGAGGTATTCCAACCTCAGGGTGTGGCTCAGATACTCAACTAAATTGATTGCTAAAAGAATGGGAGCGGGGGCCAAGAGCAGGGTCAGACCACTTTCAGAGGGCAGAGGGGTCAAAACCGGCTCAAGCAAAGCAAAGGCGCAGAGGTCAGGTATGCACAGAGGCGCAGAAGCCAAGACCATAAAGGACACGTGACCACCGGGTCTTAGAGAGGGCGGCTTTAGGCTCACAGTGACTGATAGAATCTTCACTCATTTAACAGTCCCAAATGGAAGTCTGATACATTTCCTTCAGAAATAAGAAAATACAACAGATCTCTTACAACCTGGTATCCCACTTGGGTCTTACAGAATCACAGAATGTTGAAGTAAAAGTTATCCAATACCACCAATGATGGCAAAAAACTAGAATAAATTCCAAGTGAATGATTACTTAAGAACTACTGCTATTTTTAAAAAGTTTAGCATAAATCTTCAGTTGAAAAATCAGAAAGACCATGGAGAAAAGATAAACTGTGGTAAATACATAGACTTTGAAAGGTTTGAAGTTATTTACGCATAAATCAAACAAATATTAGACAAGACCTCATAATGCTTTTCACTACAAAGGGTTGGATTTTAAAAATTTAGGGACCTGAAGTGAAATTGTATCTAGGAAATTCAAGAGAAAATTGATTTAGTAAACTTAAACCTATAAGTATGTTTAT